ACTAAGGTCTAAGAATAAAGCCATGATGGGTCATTTTTTTGGAAAGAATTTTTGCATTTATAGTTCTTTGTCTGCTTTCTCTTGTTAAATCCCATCTTCACATGCACTTCTGCTATGGAAATTTTCTGAAAAATTAACCTCAGAAATTTATAAGAAAATAACTTACTAATTGCAGGGTTCATTATTTGTTTTTACAATAATGCTTATCACTTCTTTTCTTGGCCTTTGATTATATAAATATGTACACAATACAATTTGCTTGATTTATGAAAAAATTACTGAATTACCATTAGCAATTTTTAATCAAGTAGTGCACTGCCCATGTGGTGTACTGTAGATCATGAAAATGGTGATAGTTTGTCCAGAAACAAACTTTTGTCTGCATTTGTCTAACATTTAATGTAGCAAATGTGACACATTTGCTGGAGTTTTGTAGTTTATCACAAGCAGAAAATCTAAAAGATATAATTTTGAGTAAAAAACTACATGCATGGCGACTAGACTATGTGAAGTTCACAGATGAACCCCGATTTCTGTCTAAGCAGCTCTTTCTGAGCATTCAAATAATTATTAAAAAAATTTGTAATTCTAAAATTTTAAACTACAACGATAATTATTAAAAAATGGAGGCAGTGTATTGTTAGGTACATGAAAGGTAAAACAATTTGTGATGGGTATGTCATATTTGTCATAGTGTAAGACATAGCTAGAAAAAGGCTAGCAGATTCACTTGTCCTATTTCTATCTATTTTATAAAACAAGTGTACCTAAAGTTTGATAAGGGTCCACCACATTCACGGGAGAAAGAGACTATTTCATCATAATTCATAATCCCCTCCATATTAATAAAATTCAGGGCTAAGCTATGGCATATATTACCAGAAATGAGCCTAGACAGGGACAAAGGCATCCAATAAAATCATACATGTGGACATACTATTCTCCAATCATCTTTCCGACATTATTTTTTTCAATAAACAACATTGAATTCTATAATCTACACTCAAAAATTTGTTGTTCATTATATATTGACAATAAATACAAATCTATTCTATAGTCCATACTTAAATTTTGCTGTTACAGAACATTATTTATCGTACACACATCTTAAGTGTAGATATTAAGTTTTGGTTCATGACAAATTAACTACCTAAAATCTTACAATGAATAGGTTATAAGAAATTAAGTTTTTTTTTAGCTCGGTTTTGTTCACCGTATACCCGACATGCTCAGGTTATAAATTTTTATTAAATGTAAAGTAAAGACATTGATGACAATGATCTTTTTAACACAATGTTCCGAGGAATTTCCTTTGGTGTCGGTCTAAAACCCAAAAGCCTGATATATAGTAGCTTTCAATTACATCCAATACATATGGTGTCAGGCTGTTAGCAAGAAGTGCATAATAGGCCCACACCTTCTAATTTCTAAGTCCGTCCTGACTCCTATATCCAATATATGCATTGGGCTATTAACCACACCCAGTACATGTCGCACACTGAAAGGCCAGTAAGGTCAAGAATGATTGCGGCCCAAAAAGCCCATCTTCTTACTACCGATTTCGTTCGATAAACAGAACACTTGTCGTTTTTCTTCCGATCTCAACGAGAGTAGAGAGAGATTGGAAAGGGTAGAAAGTTTGGAACACGACGATGGTGACGTATTCGAGCTCATGGTCGCAAGCTCTGGTTCGGATATCTCCTTACACCTTCTCCGCCATCGGAATCGCCATATCCATCGGCGTCTCTGTCCTCGGCGCCGCCTGGTATTTTCTCGTACCAATACTCAGGCAATCATTTTGCTGGTGTTCCCTTTTTCTTTCTCCTGATTTTGTTCGAGTTTCTGGAAACTGTTAGGGGAATATATATAACCGGGAGTAGTTTAATTGGTGCTGCTATCAAAGCTCCTCGCATCACTTCAAAAAATCTGATCAGGTACTTGTTGTATAATCTGCTGCTTTAGATTTCCAGTTACTCTTGTAATTCCTCTTTGTATCAATCGAAATGAGTTCAAGTTATAATTATTGCTTAGTCGTTGTTTGTTTGTTTGCTTGCTTGTTTTGTTTTCCTAAACTATTATGCTTGCTGCGCCGAGTCGCATTTGTATGAGCAGTAAAGGTAGGTTTTGGGGTTTGCAGGAATTATCAGGTGAAACCATCAATCATTCATAAATCATAATGTCTTATTGAAGGAGAAATGTTGATTATGTAGTTCTTAAAATATCTGATCGCGCATAAAATTCTTCAGGAATTCTAAGATAATGTGCCTATGGGTGGGGCAAACCAAATTTGAAATATCAAAGATTGAATTTCGATGACTAATAAAGTTAGCTTTTAGGACGTTCCTAGGGTAGAAATATGGTAACGATGTTCTTCTTTGATACTTTCTTGTGCTCTTAGGTTAAGTCTTATATGGCCCCGTTTTGTTTATCTATATAAGCGAGTCATGCTTGTATTGTCTCTTAAGTAGTCAGATTTAGTTATCGCTGTCATGTTAGAATGACATAGTCAAATGAAACACTACAATTTAGGACAAGAATTTCAGTTAATGTTGCATGTTTTCGGCCACGACTTCGGACCTCTGTGGTATAAGAAAATTAGTTGTGGTTAACATCATTTGTAGTTTTACTTTTTTCACCATTTGGATCGGAAAATTAATGGATAAAAATGATGAGCAAACAAATAATGTTCATCTCATTGGATGAGGAGCTGAACTAATTATCCATTTTAAGATGTCTTAGATAGGAATAGCGTGGGTAAAAAAAATAGATAAGCTTGATGTAATTAACGTAACTCATGCCTTGATTAGAATCTAGACCAACAGTCCCAGCATTGTTTTAGATTGATGTGTGCTTAAGGCTGATCATCTTTTAATTTGAGCAGTTGATTATTTTCATGGCTACTGCTCAAAGGTAAACTGCTTACTTTCATGTTTGCCAAAATGTGTTTTGTGATTTCTTTTATCTCCAAATTAGCGTGCTCTGTGTTGGGTTCTTTCAGATCACATCTGTATTCTTAACCTTCTTTATTAGTTTATTGTTTAAAGCTGTACGCATTGGTGACCCCACACAGAGCTACTGGTTTCTTCCCCATTAATGTTGTAGGGTCCAATTGTTCAGGGAAGTGAGTAAAGTCCATATGTATCAAATCTTAGGCTAGAAAGAAATTGAAAGATCTTTGAAGATAGGGGCCAAACTTTAGAGGAATTTTGGGTTAAATGATATTTTTGGGTTGGGATTTCTATTCATAAGGAATTATAAGAATTTATTTCATTAGGGATGGTGCTAATGATTGAAGTTTTCCTTTCCATTTTTTGTATTTCTTTTGTTATTAAACAATATTAACAAAATTACCAGTTTCATCATATCCCATTTTGTATGCCGTACCTGTGGACAGAATGAAACCAGGATCTGTCAACAAGAAACTGAGTGATGTGATATTTCCAATTGACATCCTTTCAGTTTCAGGCAGATGATTAGTGAAACCTTTCTGGATTTTATCATCGTCTTAGAAATAATAGCTTTTCTTCGTGTACTAGTGAAATTTTACATGCAGCTGGTAGTAGTGGTTCACAGTGACTTATCTGCTTACCCTTTCCTCAGTGTGATATTCTGTGAAGCTGTTGCAATATATGGAGTCATTGTGGCCATCATTCTCCAGACGAAGCTGGAGAGTGTACCTTCGTCGAAAATGTACGATCCAGAGTCCCTCAGAGCTGGCTATGCCATATTTGCATCTGGAATAATTGTGGGGTTTGCTAACCTCGTCTGTGGGTGAGATTTCAGTTTCCAATTTTCTTCCAGATAGTTTTATGAACTGATCATCATTTAAACCCATATTTCATCTCCAATGATCCACTTTTTTTTTTCATTTTCCTTTTTCTTTTTTTGGCTTGCTTTTATGTAGGCTTTGTGTCGGAATAATAGGAAGCAGTTGTGCTTTGTCGGACGCACAAAACTCATCTCTTTTTGTCAAAATTCTTGTTATCGAGATATTTGGCAGTGCACTGGGGCTGTTTGGTGTCATTGTGGGCATTATTATGTCTGCTCAAGCAACTTGGCCAACCAAGTAGTGGTGACGCATTAACATACGAAACATGTGTTCGTGTTTGTATTCCTTTATATATTTACTTCTTCATGTATTCTGGTTTTGTTTTAAAAAAAATTTGTTGCTGTTTATGCAACCTAGAATTAATGAAACTGAGGTGGAAAACAAGACAAACCACAACTCCAGCCGTATTATAATTTTGAGGTTCACTGTAAGTTGCTTCCGATCAATAAAGTTTGTCGCTTTCATCTCCTGCTGTTGAGTACTTGTTCTTCCTGGTTTAAAATCTGCTCCTATGGTTATAGGAGGTGGTTTTTTTGTCGAAGTGTGTACATATAACCCTTTGCCTATTGTGGTTATTTGGTCGACAAAAGGAATAATAAAATTTTTATTCAATAGGTGTGATGGTCTGAAACATACAATTAGAATTGTACTTTTACGCATTTAAGAATGATAGTGTGTTGAGGCATTCAGGATATGCTAGTCTGTTGTCTTGTGTTGAATTGAATCCTTTTCCTTTCCTTTTTCAGTTTTTCCTGCGACAAACAGTTTATAAACAAAACAATCTATATCAATATATCCGTTGATAATTCCACACAAGACAATGTTTAAGGTCATTTCCCCATAACTTTAGCGGGGAAAGAATAAAGAGATAATTACACCATGTACAACACACTGTCATTTTTTATTGCAAAATTATAAGATGTATAACATTAATTGCANCACCGACCCAAAAGCTTTCGCTCAAAGACTTCAAGATTCTCCTTCACCGCTGCGACATGGCACTCATCCGCCTCCGTTCGTACTCCGTCGAGGCCGATATTGATGTCGTGACGACTTCAGACCCTAGCACCGGCCGCAGCCCTAGCCCCGAGCCCAATCGTGCTAATACCGTTTCAATCCATTGAGATAACACGGTGAATAATTAAATTCGATGGCGATATCATGCGGGCAATCACTGTTATGAACCTGAATTGCTACCGAAGGAGAATTTAAAGGAAGAGGTGAATGAGGTGATGATAGATGACAGATCGGGACACCCATATACATAAAATATACACTCGAGTTTCAATCGTTTCTCAAATTGAACCCACATATACATAAAATATACACTTAAGATTCTCGTAATTCAACCAGTGATAAATCGGGACACATATATACATAAAATATATACTCAAGTTTCAATCGTTTCTCAAACCGAACCCACATATACATAAAATATACGTCAAATATAAACTTAAGTTTCAATCGTTTCTCAAACCGAACCCACATGTACATAAAGTATACGTAAAATATACACTTGAAATTCTCGTAATTCAAGCCAGTGACAGATCATGACACACATATACATAATATATATGAAATATACACTCGATTTACGTGATCATACATGTTCTGTAGAACGAAAATTCCACGTCTTTTCGCCGAGCATGATAAGAACAAAATCCTAATTATTAGGTAATATAGACTTACCTTTTGTTTTTCAGTTTAACGTGATTGTAGGAAGATTGTTTTTTAATTAAACATGGTAACAGATAATTAGGTAACGTCTGATTCTGTTTTATCACCAAATAACAGCAATAAGGTATCCATACAATTCATATACACCACCTCATATTTTTATAAATATTTTAAAATATTGTGGTATGTTAAAAAATTCCCCGAATTTTTTTCAAGTAGAGATCATACTTATATTTAAATTACCCTATGTTTAATTACGGTCCTGTCTATGTTTAATTACCCTAATCAGTTAATTACATATTTAAATTAATTAAATTTTTAATAAATCTAGTAATTTTGCAATTAATATTATACATCTTGTAATTTTGCAATAAAAAATGACATGTGTGAAAGAATTATATATGAGTGAAAGATCAATCTAATATCAACGCAACGGCTGCTTTATACAATAAAATTTATGTTGTAATATTTTTTTGGGTTAATTGCATATAAAACTCTAACCTTTTGTTAAACTGCAGATAAAACTCCACTTTATAAGTTTGGCAAAAAAAATACTAACCTTTCATAATTGTTGCAATTGTGTCTCAACCGCCAACTGTCACCTGCCGTCGGCCAACTTCGCCGGATGTTGAAAATTTTTACATGATATTGTAGCTCTCGTCCGTGCCAACAACATATCCGAGTTTCACGAAAAACTTCCGACGATAAGGAGATGATCGGAAAAGTCGTCACTGGAAAGAGTCACCAGTTCCGGCGAAGGTGGACGTCACTAGATGCGGCTTTGCGAGAGGAGTTCAACGGTACCTTCGAATTCACGTGGGTCAAAGCAAGTCACCGGAAATTTGCGAAAGAGCCGGATAAAATTTGTAGATCTATGAGCTTTGACCGGACAATAATAATAATAATAATAATAATAATAATAATAATAATATTATTCACAGGAAAATCGGCTCAATATATGGCTTCGAAACTTGTAAATTCTGTAAGTTCAGAAAAATCCTAACTCTCGCTCTCACTATTAGACATGAGACTCTTTTGATTATCTTATATGCTCTCATTAATTTTCTGAGTGAGTTCTTCGTGTTTTCCACACGAGGAATGTCCGAAACAGTTGCTTGCAGCTATTTCACCTTTCATACCATAAAAGCAAAATGATAATGATCTTCTAGATTTGTTTATCTATATTTTTTTTTTTCTGTAAATTATAGTTACCAAAAAGGAGAGACTAAGCTCATCTCTACGTTTGAGTGTGATTTTGGGGCTTTAGTTTGAAATTACAGTTCTTTATTTGTATCTATCTATGAAGTATCCATGCCTGACACCGACCATCTAAATGTGGGGCAAAAGTTATATCCACTTTTCATAGTACACCATTTTTTACAATTTCGCCTCAGCTATGAGTCAAAAAAGGGTGCATGTTTTATTTATTTTTTCTCTTTTCTCCACTTACATATTTCGATAGGGGTGGGATTTTATACCCGAGAACCGGAGAACCGAACCGGACCGAACCGAAAATAACCGGTTCGGTCCGGTTACTTTAAAAAAAAACTATTGTTTCGGTTTTCGGTTATTTGTTGCATGTTTCGGTTCTGGTTCCCGGTTCCTTTCCAAATGTATACGTATTAACCGAGGAACCGACTATATATGTGAAATTATGTATGCTATACATGTTTATATGTATGAATCGGTTCCGGTTCTTGTATTTAATATTCGGTTCTTCATTTTTGCATTCGGTTCTCGGTTTTTCATGATATTTTTAGTCCGTGAGTTGCATTTTTTTGACCGGTTCTTAACTCAAAACCGGTTATTGTCGGTTATTTTTTATTATTCGGTTACCCGAATACCCGGAAAAACCGAACCGTTATAAACCGGTTCGGTTCTTTTTCGGTTCCTGCAATTACTTATATGTTAACCGAACCGGTTTTTTCGGTTCCATAAGCCGAGCCATCCGATGACTCCATAGCAAAACCGTTTCAATACAATACTTATTGAACACCACAATTATTATTTTCTATCATATCTCAATTAATTACTATATTTTACTTTTATCTATAAAATTCATTTAATTCAAATATTTATAATTATGATTCGTTACTTTTCTTCTTTTCAATCATATCACAATTTAACTCCTATTCTTTATTTCGGATCACTTTATAATTACAAATCACACTGAGGTTTTTACACTCATGCACTAATCAATAAATTTCTCAATCACTCGCAAAATCAAACAACTTGAATGTTGAATAAGTCCTCCGTCACACAAGGGCCAAGCCTGATTCTACATTTTACCTCAAGAACAAACTGTAGAGAATTTAGTTTCATTTATCAAAAGTTCTACAATCACATCACCCTACTTTCGAGACTTGCATTATCTCAAACCTCATGAGCCACTGCTAGTTTTTCCACAACATATCTCTTTAACTGTAACTATAATTATTCATAAGTTAGCATACCAATCGTTTTCCTCAAAATAAACCAGATGAAATATTCCAAAAGATAAAAATATCAAAAGGAACATTTACGCCACCACCTCCATACAACCCTCTCCAGCCGAGTCACGCAACAATAACAAAACTACAACACACAAAAATGAAAACCACAAAACAAAATACAACTTCTTCACCTAGCCTCTGTCGCCTTTTGATCGGGTTTATCTTCATCTGTGATGTGCACATTCTCAACCTGCTGAGTAATAACCACGGATAAACTGGTTCCGGAAGCTTCTTGCTCTGCATTGTTAGTTGGACCAGTCTGCCATATTCTAATGGTCCCGTCTTCAGATCCCGAGGCATACGATTCGCCACCTGGCGAGAAACGAACGCAATGGACTGGACCATGATGCCCCTTGTTGCAACCTACGAGCAACCAAAAAATGAAAAAAAAAAAATTCAAAATACTAAAAATACAAGTGACAACAACATCATGTTAAAAACCAATCGCACTAAGAAAGTAAAATTCATAGCTTAAGAAAACTACACAGCCAACTCACCAACTTCGGCTCCCGTGTGAAAATCAAAAACATGAATCCACATGTCCTCTCCACCAGCAATAAACTTGTTACCATATTTTGGCTCCAAAGAAGCTGATTCCACACCACAGGGCATTGAGTAACTCTTTACCAATCCAAAGCTGGTGAACAAAATACCATGTTAGTTAATGCATATGCTAAACCAATCAAAAAATAAGATGGAGCATTGAAATGGATTAGACATACTGATTTGCATCCCAGAAATTGACAGTAGACCCATCTGCAGTTGTTATATAGCGGCCATCTTGACTAACCTCAGCACTGGTTACAGAGGACTTGGTCTCAAGTGTCCGAACAATTGTGCCAGTTCTCACATCCCACAATCTAAAGCCAGGTCATCAGTTTAATAAATTCAGATTAAACAGATACTTAAAAAGGACCATGCAATAAAACTGTAAAATTTATGTTGACAACAAATAGTTCTGCATGTGGGAAACAAAAATACAAGAAATAGCAAGCTATGTCATGTGTTCAAACTAGACAGACAGCAAGCAATTTAAGAGAAGGATGTACTTAATGTTAACATCTGATGCCATCAGTACAAAATGAGAAACATAAAATATATCAACCATACGATTGAACAGAGAAAAGGAAAAGGTAATTGAAGATGAAGCTATCTGCAATGTTACATATGATAAGCTTGCAATTAGTAACTATCCGTGCCTAAATCATTGAAAAATTAATTAAAAGAAAAAAAGGGTAAGAAGAATATAGATGATTTCTCAGTGTCCACATACCTTACCCCACCCATGTCAGTACAGGAACCTAAAATTGTTTGATCACTGTGTAGCCAAGCAACAGTTCTCACAGAACCAGGAGACCTTTCAATTTCCCTGGGAGGTGCATCTGGTCGATTTAAATCATATATGCGAAGAACTTTTTCCATTCCTCCAGTAAGCAGAAAGTGGGTATCCTGCCAATCGATTGAAGAAGAAAAATAAAAAAATCAACCATCATAACCGGTAAAACAGGTGATAAACATCAAAAGGAGAATCCTAATAAAGCTGAATAAGTCCAAAACTTGTTTTCACTTAATAATTTTGGCCACTCCCATGAAGGAATGTTAATCTTCACTTCAAATCAGGAAGATAAAACACATTAGCACTTCTGACATAAGCATGCAGAATATAAAAGGTACAGGACAGCTCGTAAGTCACTTCAAATGAAAGACATGTACGGGCAGGATAATTCACAAGTAATTTCCAGTAAACAATTATCGTACAGCATAGTTAACAGCAAGATAAAAAATATCCAAGTTCGGAAATCTGTCCATATTTATTACAGTCCGAAAAACCACAAAATATATCTTCTAAAAACAGAAGCAAAGCAAAAAAAAGAAACGTATCAAAACCTCGATAAATATTCTGTTGATAGAAAAATAATGTTAACATCCATCACAAGTTATGGCATCAGTCATATTGTACCTCTGAGAAGGCACAAGCACGAACTATGTGCTTGTGCTCAAATGAATGCAACTCGTCTCCAGTCAATGCATCCCATAATTTCCTGCAGCAGGTCAGTAGAATCAGGACATGAAGCTATTCAGTTAAATTAATAACCTTCAAAAAAAAAGCTTTAGTATCCATTAGAGCAGACTCGTGTAGATTTTAATATAAACTTTGAATAACAACAAGAACAAGAAACCATACGCAGAGAAATCAGCAGAGGCAGAGGCGGCACGCAGCGCATTTTTATCCAAGCAACAAGACCATACAGCACCTTTGTGTCCTTGAAAAGTGCCAATCCAATCTCCAGTCTCTCCATTTCTCAACATTGGTGTTGAATCTATAGGAGATGCAAACTCTTAGAGTTACTTAACCAACAAAACACTTTAACAAAATTCAATTCGTAAGGCATTGCTGAGATCTCACCACATTTTGATATAAACCACAGAGTACTTAATGAGAAATAGGAGAGATAAAAAAAAAAAACTAGTTCATGGCAAGAAAAATCAAGATATAAACTGCAACAGTCATATATTAACGTTTAGCACAGAATTTGGAATTTCCATATCACAGATAAACAATCACTTAGATTATCTACTTGAACAAAATAAAAAATGTCAACAACAACAACAACAACAACAACAACATAGCCTTTTTGTCCCAAGCAAGTTGGGGTAGGCTAGAGATGAAACCCAAGAGAACCAATGGTAAGAGAAACACAAAAAGGGCTCAAAACAAAAGGAAGAGATTGGAGCAAAAGAAAAAGGAGCAAAAGTCACGGTTCTGGCACGTTGATTGCTAGCCTCCAAGCGCTCCTATCCACCGCTAAATCCTTGGAGATATTCCAATCTTTAAGGTCACTCTTAACCGACTCTTCCCAAGTGAGTTTAGGCCGACCTCTATCTCTCTTTACATCATCGACCCGCTGTAGAACTCCCCTACGCACCGGTGCATCAGGAGGCCTCCGTTGGACATGTCCGAACCACCTCAACCGATGTTGAACCAATTTCTCCTCAATTGGAGCCACCCCGACCCTATCTCGAATATCCTCATTCCGGATTCTATCCCTTCTTGTGTGCCCGCAGAACCAACGCAACATACGCAGCATCTCTGCTACACTTAGTTGTTGGACATGTTGCCTTTTTGTAGGCCAACATTCAGCACCGTAAAAAAAATAAAAAAAAATATAAAAAAATAAAAAAAATGTAGGAGTATTATACAGACATGTTTGACCTAACCAATGTACTTCTCCCGGATTCATCATTACCAATTAACTCCGGTTCTTCTCAATGTAGGAGTATTTTGGCATTAAGAACCTCAATATCCAGATAGAAATAACTTACACAATTTATCTTCCACTCAGCAATTTATACAACTGGACATAACAATTAAGAAAACACGAAATAATTGAAAGACAAACACAAAACTATTTTACCGATATTTTTTCCAATAATAGCATTAACCTCCGTTCTTACGTAATCCACGTTATTACATGCGTCCAAAAAAAGGAGCAAATAGATTCAATCCATGAGATGGTTTTCATAGAACATGTTACGGTAAAGACATCTCCTTTGGCATACTTGTCAAACAACTGCCCTTCAAACCAGTAGGCATAAGCAGACGTTGTTCACAACATTCTCCATTAGATATATTATTACTTCCCATTTCAACTAAAACCACGTTTAAGCACTTATTTAATCACAAAAACTTGTCAAATTTAACTGTTAACAATCACACCACACCAGTTAACACTCCGACTCTCCATAAAAACATCTTCTGCATTGTCAGGGTGAGTTGATTAAGCTACACTTGCCTTAGGCAATAAATTTTACAATCATTAAGTAAAGTTACAGTTGGGCACACATACATTAATGGAGTCCCAACATTATTTCCAAATCCGAAATTATTAGGGTCTATAAAAAAATTCAGAGAAGTTCAAAAGATCCTTAAACCAAAAGTTGCTGCGATATCATTACCTCTTCAGCTGAAGCCAATGTAGAATCATGTGTGAATGTGTTATATACTGGACCATATAAGTGCCTACGCATCATAACTCCTAACAATAAAGAAAAGTTACTACCTAAGGTACTAGCATTATGTATTTATGAAGCAAACCAAAAAGGATATCCAAATGCCAGAAATGGATACACCTCACATGGCCCATCAATATCACCAGATCAATGAAACAAACACTGCCATTGATAATAATGTAGATCAGCAAGATAACAATAACTAAAAGCAAAAGAAAAAAACTTACCCTTGCTTGCACTGACAAGGAAGAACCCATCGGGCGTTACAGGACTGTAGAACACATCAACAACCGGACGAGAATGACCATGGCAGACCAATGGAGCCACAACTTTCTTCTTATCCATTCTTCCACAAACTTATATATTACCCAAATAATTAATGCTTCTTTTTTTTTCGAAATTTACACAAATCTAATCAAATCACCCAGCAAATGAACCCCAGTCCCCGATCCCAATACCAGAATTCAAGGACCCAAATTCAATCTCAAAATCCGAAAATTGACCCCACAATATGAAGAAGATACGCCCAGTCGCCTGATAAAGGTGATTT